GAGTAGAATGTAAACCACTGGGCAGCAGGCCAAGTGATTTAAAAGGAACAATCAAATCATGCCTCTGAATAATTTTTACTAGGCTTTCATACATGTACACTTCTCATAATTTCAAATATTAATAATTATACACCAATACTTTTATAAAATATTATAACCTAAAATTTTTCATTTTACTTCTCAAATTAAATTTACTAATGAGATATAAAAGTTACCCTGATATAAATGATAAATAGTAACAAAGTAGCTGTCAGATTCAGACATTTCAAAAAAATTTGGCACTGAAATAAATACAAAAAGTAAAAATCAGTTACCTCTAAAGTGGTCTTATTGTAAAATGGAAAATAATTCCCATGCATGAATTCTACAATCATTGTTAACTTTACAGTTCATCAATCCGATGTACCCTGCCCTCACATTTAACTTATTTGTAAATACTTATCTAAGGCTACCTAAACACTTAACTATTGGTTAAATATGCTGCCTACATTAATTTCTGTTAAAAATTAAAGAAATTAAAGGTTCATTTTTGTTTTTTTGCAGTGACTGATGTATTTTCCAAGTGACTGATATATTTTCCAAGTATTCCATGTTTCAGAAAAGGTGTTTATCAGGTTCTTAAAACATTTTTATAAAGTAGCTCAAGGGAAAATTTATAGCCCTTTTACCTTTAACATATTCACTATCTTGGATTTTGTGGAACAGATTAAGTTGTTTTTTCCTTCTTCTGAAACTCCTCCCTTACTCAAATAACCAAAGATTCTAAGATGTTATCAATATAAAAAGAAAAAAATTGTGTATTTCCTATACATTTGGAAACACATCAAAAAGAACGAGTATTCCAGGCACTGGAAGAAGTAAAGCTATTCAGTAAAACTTGTTTTTTCATTTTCTTGGGTGTGTGGTACATGTGTGTGTATATAGTAACAGTTAATTTTTCATATATTCTAGTTTTCCAAAGAACAGGATTCTAAATAAAAAATATTAGAACATTTCTAGGAAGAACCAATATTTGATACATAGTTGAAGAGGCAAATGATTATTGAAACAAAATTTCAAAGACCTCTATAGATATATGTTTTAGCTATCTGGCTTTTCAAACGGCAAAGACAGGAGCACTACATTTAATTTAGTAAATAATAATTTAATCCTTAGAAGGGGAAATTTCCATAATTATAAACCAAAATGTATACAGTAACAACCAGGATTATGTTTAAAATGAGGGGAAAAGAAACCCCACCCTTGTATCATATTAAAACACAGAGAGTATTCTTAAAAATTTTAAACTGTATTGATAAAAGCAAATTCACTGATTTATTTAGCTATAAAATACGTGTTTATTAAAATATGTTGGTTATAATGAATATAAAGATATAGAATTTTATTGGTACTAGACCACTTATAAATCTTCTGCCATAGCAGCTAAATTCCTTACAGAATTTCAAATAGCAAAATTAGCCATATAAATTGCAAATAAAATCTCAATCTATGAAGTTTCTCTAATTTTAACTGAAATAAAATTTCTGAATATATAATATCCTTATATTATTTTTGTAAATTGGTAAAATTTAATAGTAACTTCAGAAAAAGGATGTTAAACAGGTAGTATTTCTAAGGCATCAAAAAAGCCAATACAGCCAATTCAAATTAGATACTGTCCTGTGCGCTATCTAAATAACACTCTCTAAGGAATTATACATTTTATTCTTGTGCACTCTCAGTGCTTTTTCTAATTCACACAAGTAGCTAGTTGTGTAAAACCCACACATGAAGAAAGTTTTATATCACCCTTTGTGAAAGAGAAAAAAAAATCACAATACCAGCACTTTGATTTAGGCTAACAATAAACTAATCATAACTTGAATTGTCCAGACCTGAATAACTCGATGGTCTAATATAACTGGAAGAAATGCCTTTTCTTCACTTCTATAGAAACTGAATTTATTGATACTAGTACTTGGTTTGTCAAAGTGGCAACTATTCAAGATCTAAAAGTCTCACTTATTTTGAACACATAGCTTATTCCTGACTACTTATAGTCAATGTAACTGTCTTGAGCCAAAACACAGTGAATATAAAAATGTAAGATAAATTTCTAAGGTTTAAGTATGAATGGCATTCTGAAACATCTGGACTGAAGATTATTTGGGGGAGGGGTAAGTTTCTTCTCTCCATTGACAGTTAATCATTTTCCAATCAATTTGCATTTAATAGTGGCTTATGGGAATAATTTCTTAATGAGTTCTTAAAAAGCTGTGATTGCTTCCAAAATCAGAAACCACAAGATGATGTACTCAAACACTACACCAATGCAGTGCTATTATGGAGGTATTTACAGAAAGGTGCAGGTAAGGGCTCAGATGTGAACCCATGTTAACAAACAATGGACTTCAAAATAATAATTTATACAGTATGACATGAAAAAATATTCTGTATAAGTCTAAAATCCCAGCTCTAATTTTTAATCCATTTTTACAAATCATAAAAACAGAGGAAAATAGGCATTTATTTCAGAAAACCCATATACCTGTGGAAATTGGAACACAAGTAAATTCTAGTCAAGATCAATCTTAACTTCAAATAAAGTACAATGTACATGTTTTAAATTTTGAAAATATTGTGAAAAAGCAAACCATTAGAGTCTATAATAGCTTATGATCAGCAAACATTCCTGTTAAAAATACAAATTCATCTTAAAAGATTTTAAAAAATTGATAGGTCTCAGGTTTCTAAAATCTTTTAATTTCAAAGGTGCAGAGTTACAGCACATCTATAGGATGGGCTTTAAAATTGGGCATACGTAAACTTTTCCATGGGGTTGGTGCATGTGCTTTTTTTCCCTTAAATAAATGCCTACTGCTTACAGTGTGAAAGAATCTCCAACACTCTGTCTGCAGTTTTCAACCAGAAGTCCTCAATGTACCTCAAGCCAAATTGAGTATTATTAGGTCTTTTACAGCTTTTACAAAATGGCTGTAAAATCACATTATGGGCATACACAGCTCTTTGATCTCACTGCACAGAATTCATAACTGTTCAATAATGCTGTATCATTACACCATACACCTTAAACTATTTCCATTTTTCCACGATTCCTTCCAAAATCAGCTTCAAAAGCAAAGAAATGTAACATGAAAAGTTCCTGGGAGGCTTGTTACACAAAAGAACAGCTTGGATACACTCTAGTCTACACCATATCCATCTTTTGTTGAGTTTGTTTATCCCTCCTTTCCCTCCATCACACCTAAACGTGGGTTCACTTGAATAGTGGAAAGAGAAGGCTCTTCCATCACCACACCCTCCCAGCACCTCTGCTTTTGGTCCTCAGACAGTGATTCTGTGTAGGTGATGAAAATCCTAAGAAAAGAGAAGCTGTCCCTTTAAAATGCCCTGCTCTGTCCCATATCCCACGTGGAACCAACATCAGCAGCACTTTCCCATTAACTTCAATGTGATGCAAGAGACACCATCCTTTTCTATACATAAACCCAGAAAACCTCAGCTTAACATTCTTTAGTGAGGATGAACAGGTGAAGCACACGGGTCAGGAAGGGAGAAAGTAAGCAACTCCCCACCCTCCCCAAAAGATGCTCCAGTCGTGCTCTCCAGCCTCTCTGTGCACATCACCTCCCTACCCCTCCTCTATGGAGCTTAGTTTAAAGAAAGGAGGGAGCCACTAACAAAACCTGAAACATAAATGCGACGAAAATGCAATCTAAAGCCAGAAAGGTTTATTCTTCCAATCACACATATTAACTCTATTAAGAAAATGGCATCGCTTTTTTTCCACCAAAAAAAAAGAGCCTCAAAGATCATTAAGAGAGTTATAAAAAAGCAAATATAGTGTTTATCTTATCTCAGATCAGTCCACATTACCAATAAGTTTAGCAGTTTCTGCACTACCACCTCCCCCCTCCCTCCCCCTCCTTCTCTTACATCGGATTTTCACATTTTCTCATTGTCGGTTGAGTTATAAAAGGCTTTTGCCCTTCGAAAGTTTTAAAAAATAAATAAATATTAACTCCTTGGTCCCTGCAAAGTCAAAATGGACTTCAGGGGAAAGGCGGTTCATACTTTTACCTTCAGCGAGAAAAGGGGGAGCATCCCGGATTTTTAGGGATTTTTTGCGATTTTTAAAAATTTTTTATTTGGTTATATGCCTGAGTTCTCCCTCCATTTTGGTTGTTTATGATACTGACAACAAGCTGTCCCTGCTCTGTGCAGATCTCCTGCTTTCATTTAGCACCCCCTCCCCC